ACTTCTGTGTATGAATTGACTGCTTCTTGACTCATTTTTCTAAATATATGAAAGTAAAATTGAATTGAAATTCCTTTTTGCAGCGAAAACTTCGCATACATCCAGGTCTTATCTGGTGTGCGCTCTGGGTGACATCACTAGTAGAGGTTAAAAAATAAAAACAAGTCTCAAAAACATATAAAGATAAACAAAATTTGCATCGAGAAATATTTTGTTCATGTTTCTACATTCAGAAATCTTAACTATGTCGCTATGTTGGTTTTTTTACTTTTTACATACAAATGTTTGGAACATTAACCCGTGTCTCATATTTTTATTCCACAAAAAAAATATAATTTCCACATTAATCTTATTAAAGTCTCATTACAAATTCCAGAATCTATAAATATGCAAATTCTGTTCATTTCTAAAGTTCCTAAATCACACTTTTGTTGCATACCGGATCTGTCTATCGGATTAATAAAATTAAAGTGTCAGAACCACAGAACCAAAAATTATATTTTTATTAGCAAAATGTTTTTTATCATACTGTGCACCTGCTTATGTGTCCCTTTGTGATAGATTTAAACTTGCTAATAATGTCTTTCTTAAGCCAGTTTTTATAAATATCTGTTGAGCATCGTTATATGGGCCTTCAATGTACGCTTTTTCTGTAGGCCAATCTGCTGTCTAAAAGCCAATCTATGTCCCTCTTATATTTGTCGATATCCAGCTCCCTTTATATCTGCACTCTTCTGAGAGAAAAATAGACCTTCTTTTTAAATCTTAAGCAGCCATCACAAAGGCAAGGCCCAATAAATTGTCACAGTTAACGCTCAACGGGAGATAGTGATGGGGAAAATGCCATGAGAGGAGAAACATTTTAGTGAGAAAGAAGCAATTTTTGTTGAGATAAAATCTGAAATCGTGTGTTGCTGACAGTTAGGGAACAAACAAAAGCCCTGTCTTATTTGTATTCTACCCTGTAATTTGTTGGTTCCCTGCAGGGTCATTCTCATTTAAATCTGCTGCAGCAAATGGAACTGGAGGACAACCAACACTGACCTAACATGGTCAGAGTTTTTGTTTTTTCCAGATCAGCCTTACCTCAGGCACTCTTACCTTCTCCTTTCCTAAAGCACTCATTGGCTGTCCAAATAACCAACTACACAGTCTTAATGAGCCTGGCTTAAAGCCAGTAATGATCCTGGCTGTAGCCCCAAGAGAGTTTTTCCCCCGACTAACAAGTCATTTGCTGTGGCAAGATTCATCTCAGATTTTCATTGATCTAATGGTTGTCAATAGGCTAACCTGCTCTAAATGGTCAACCTTGGGGCAGTATAAATTATGAGCTGCTCAAGGAATACAAGATTGATGAGCTGAAATTTTTGTTTTTGCTTTGGATAGCTGGCAAGATATCCCACTGGACAGATTCATTCTGGCTCTGGGATGTTTCCTCATAGTAGAAATTTGATCTGATGAGTTTATTACCCTACTTCAAACAGTATTCCATCTGTGGGGGTGGACAAAATCAATCAACCACTGTTCAATGTCTTATCTATTACTATAGTCCTTCAAGACTCATTTTGTGACTCTTATTAGCGTTTGTAGTTTAGACTGTATGCCAAAAACATGCCACCAGATTTGTTCACCAGAGTGCACAGACACAAACTGTAGAACACATCTTAGTCACAATTCTGAAAAAGAAAAATTAAGAAATGTGGTACATTTTCACGTAAAAGAAAGAACATCTGCCTAACATTAGAATAGTATCAGCCTCCAAAATCCTGTATATTCTGCCCTACGTATAGTGACAAATCTTTAATAATCAACGCAAAGGCAGAAGACATTTTATCAAATATGCTATCTTGCCAGGAGTTGAGTGAGACTGATACCACTCTCTTGTCTGTATGGTAAATACGAAAGTGCAGCTAGCAGGCTATGTTACAAAATCCGCCTACCCGCATGACTGGTTTGATGGTTTGTTACACAGGACACTCTGGGAAGCTGTCGTTGAAAACTGTTTGGAAAAGGGCAGGCACTTTCAAAACGTACTTGGCAGGTGATTAAATGAACCATCTGTTGGTGAACTTCAACCAATCAGATCAATAAACCCTAGCCAAACTCTTACCGAAGCCACTCGGGAGAAGAACGAAAACATCTTTTCTATCTAGAAAAGCCTTCAGTCATTATTATACCATTATTGTTTATTTAATCTGTAAAAAAGAAAAGAAATGGAAGTATAAACATAACATACCATTTATGTGCTGGTAGGCCGGAGCCAGGCGTGCTGTTTCCTGTTTCTCCAGGCTTTAGCATCATATTTACTGTACAGACATGAGAGTGGTACAATTTCCCAGAATATCAAAATACTCCTTCAAGGTGTTGCATGTTTATGTAAAACTAATATTGGCTGATATGATTCAGTCACTAGTTGCATAAATGACACTCTAAACTGTTAGCTTCAAGTTTAATCACTTTCAAGATTATAGTACAGTATGTAACCTAATAATTTCTAGAGGGAAAACCACTTTCCAGATATAATTAGATGCATAATTGGAACCTGCAGCATATAAAGGGAACAAGCTAAAACATATGGTTCCTCTTCATGATACTTTAAGCATAAATTATTTATTAAATAGAAAGCATCATCATTTTTATTTAAAAATGACCTACCAATGAAACTTGCCAAAAGTTAGCTGAATTATAGATTAGCTCTGATTTTGGAGCTTAAACAAAATAAAGGCCAAAACTAATTGGTGTTCAGTGTGAAGAGAGAAAGTAATTAATCTTATCTGCATGAGAGAGGAGTCTGTATGTAAAGTGCTTGGATATCTTCTGGAGTTATGGTGTGTATATATACGTATATGCATGCAGAAAATGTTAATGTGTAAACTTCAAACAAAAATGAAAAGAAGAATAGAAAAGAAGATTTGACTGATTGTGTTGGTGTGTGATATGCTGTGATCTGGTCCTCTACAAAGCTTGAAACTATATTTCACATGCTCTTTTCCTTTTTTTTTAAATAGGTGGACGACATCTTAGGTGAGGAGAGCGATAACGAAAGTGAGGGCCGAGGGAAAGAGAAGCCAGGTAATGAGGAGGTGGAGGATGAAGAGGAGGAGAGGCGGCAGCGGCAGCAACAGCAGCAGCAGCCAGGAGCTGGACGGATAGCGGGAGGAGAGCCCGGTCCTCAGGCGCTGGCCGTGGAGAAGAGGATCCAGACGCCATCCAGTGAGACCAGTCTGCCCAGTAGTGTGCCAAGGTGAGACACTTAATGGCAAAATCCAACTTTCCATCTAGTATAGTCATTTACTTTTTTTTTTACTGCCCCTTTTTGTGTCTTCACTGCTCAGCAGCCCTTCCTAAGTAAAATGTGGTACATGGATATCGTATAGCTCTTTCCCTCTCTCTCTTTAGCCCAAAAAGTTACTATTACACATGTCCTTTTATTAGTTTCTCTGTGTGATCCCTGTTGGCATTCTCCTCTTTCCATGTTGATCCTCTACATCTTGCATAAACACTTCCGGATGAGACGGATGCTTAACTTTAACGCAGTTGGCAAGAGAAAGAAGTCCATTGAGAATCTTTGCAAATGTACTGTATATGTTCAGGTCTTACTTCTCCAATGACTATTATCATAACACACCACTTAATCACCACGGCCATGCTAAAGCCAGACGGTCTGGTCCGTTGCCATGGAGACAAATTTCAAACAGACAGAAGGCAGTCAAAGGATTCTGAACAGATCTTATTGCTGAAAGACGGGCCTGAGTTGAGCCGAGCTGTTAGATTCAGTCTCTCCTGACAGATTATTTTGTTGTCTTTTGTATATCCTTAGTATATAATATTTGTCTGCGTATTCATTTGGTGTTTTTCATGAATAAACCTTGTGCATTCTGTTTATGTTGAAAACATCAACATAATAAATGGCATGAAAGAGACTAGTCCAGACCACAGTAAAATAAAGTGTTACAGCTGTCAGTGGATACATTTACATCTCTCTCACATGTGCTGGCATCACTTAATCCTGACACATATAATGTGCATTTCTACAGTTAACTGCTTTGGTGTAATTGCAGCTTTGCGTGATACTGTGTGATCTCTGAGCCTCATACTTAAATAACTTTGGCTGGGATGTTTGGGATCCTCCTCTGTGAGGGTTTGGGCTCACTGTTTATAACAGCACTATGTGATGATTTTAACTATGACAAGCCTGTGGTGGCTTCATAGAGGATGAATCTTCAGTAATCTGTCTGTTTAGTGTTATCTGGATAGGCACGATGATGCAGTTGCTCTCTGTAGAGAAGTGGAATACAAAGTGGTTTGGTCATCAGGAAAAAGTACAATACAGTACAATAATATAGGCTCCTCAAAATATTCAAAATGGCTATGCACACCAAAATATGTGACAGTGCATCAGAAGTAAGCACAATTTGAATAATGAATGAGAAAACTCCCACACACTGTCTTACTGCTGGTATATTTAATTTACCATGCTTCAAACTGCACGGCCTTCATCTGGGTATATGGCAAGCATCATAACAGTTATATGAACCTTATTGCACCAAACTATCCAAAGGTCAAAAATAGGAAGGAAAGAAAAAAGAAAATGACAAAAAGTACATAACATAAAATACAACTATGGTTCCCCAATGTATTTTGGCATGTCCCAACTTTGGCAGCTGAAAAACGTTCACAGCCTATTTAACTGATTTTATTGTAATCAGCACTAACATTGGATAAACTAGTAAGAAAATAAGCCAAGTTGGAAATGACATTATCCAGAACATGAACTGCGTTTTTCTTTATATGAATGTTTCTCATTAGTGTGTGCTGTGCAAATGAAGTCGAATTTAAACTACCGAATATTTTACACATAAAGACACAAGCTGCTCCCCTGCTGTACTGAAAGTGATCTCGCGAGTAAGAGATGGGCTTCTTTATATTCTAGATTTGACTTGCATGTGTTGTTGTCATAGCAGACAAAGCACAGGTGAAGAGTAATGCTCCGTTCCAGCAACTATTGCAGTGCAGCGGTTAATAATAGCATTAGTTACACCTGTGTTTGGCAAAAAAGATCTGTTCAGCTTTAACTGCAGGTTTCACTGGGTAAATGAAGAATATGAACCATCAGACCTTGGTTGGCCAAAAACAAAATCCCAGCCTGTAGTCTTGAACTCCTCTCTAATGTTGGACCACTGCATCCTGTCTTCCAGACTTGCCTTTCATGTCTGTGAGTCCATGTTCAGCCTCACCAATCTGATTGCCAGAGCTTAAAAAAAGCAGATACCTTGTGTGGGGTGTTTTTTCTAAACCAGTAATACTCTCTGAAATCTCTCTTTTTTTTTTTTTTTCTGGATGGGTCTCGGTTGTGGTTCAGTATCCATGGCTACACAGGCCTCAGCAAGCAGCAGCATGATGATTTTCCTCATCGCTTCCCTCTTTTGGACATGTCAGTCCGTCTGTCACCTGGTCTGGCACCTTTGGTTGCTGCTAATGAGTCAGGCCTGAAATGCACTGTCTACTGTGTTGTTTAGTTGTTGTTGAAAACCTCTGGAAGTCCAACTCCACTCAGTGCAGTGGTGCAGAGGAGTGGCACATTATTAGACAGCCTGGCACTCAAGAAGGAAGTGTAAGTTTGACTCTGAAAGCATTGTGGACTCAAATTGGCGGATAGTCCTTTGGGGGTCCTTCCACAGAAAGATGGCAGTGACATAGTCCAATAATATTGCAGCTTGCCTGCTCAGGACTCTCCTCAGTCTTTCTCTTCTGTCTATATTTTTAACCATCATGATGCCCTGAAAACCATTTCTGGTTGTTGTAAAGAATGTTCAACTCAAAGGAATGTGCTTTATACAGTTAACATTACAGTTAACATTACATTTAACAGTCTTTCTCTTTTAAAAACCAAGCTTTTGGTTCTGTTTTTGTTTTTGAACTTGATCAGAATGCTCAAACATCAGTAAAATGCACTAATTTGGTCATACCGCAACTTATTTACAACTTGCTACTTCCATCTCCTGCCTTGCCTCTGCTCTACCTCAAACATTACTGTAGGAGCATGCTTGCAAGCTATCTGGTGTTATTATACTGTATCTATTTTGAACCACAAAGTTTTCTTAAAGGAATTGTTGAACTAAAAATATAATTCCTTCATCTATTCTGCATTCCCTATAGCCTGGGATGAAGGACAAATATGTTTGTAGTACTTTCCCTTCGGGGAAAGTAGAGCATACAGAAGTGTTTCACTTCAAGTTGAAGGACTCGCAAGAGACAGATTTGAAAAAGAATGGTCAAAATTGGAAAAGCAGAGGCTCTAGAAAGCTTCTTTCTTTCTTTTGACCACGGCTTGCTCCTATTTGTAACACAACCAGTTAAAAAAACAAATTTTTTGAATTTGAGAATGTAAGAGCCTGTTTTGGCCTACAACAATGATAAATGAAAATGTAGTGTAAAGCTGCAGGTTGCCTAGTCCTGCTCTTTCCCATTGTACGATAACCCGTATGACATCATCAGGGTTAGAGTAGTATTGCTCATGACAAACTAAATGTGTAGAATTGGTGGAGTGCCCCTTTAACAACAGCAAAAAATATTTAATTGTCATAAGAACCAGAAGTGACAATGTCAAAGTACGCATGCAGCGTAATCTAAGTCACTGATACCCATTTGCATGTTAAGTAGACTTCCAAACACATTTATCTTCACTACAACATTGCCAAATAAAACACTTTAACATCAGAACATTCATCAAATGTCAAAGATGATCTGATCTGACTCAGAGCCTACCTTGAATGGTCTCACAGTAGGAATACGAGCACACTGTATACTCTGTAAAAATTAACAAAGAGATTATATAAAAAGGAAAAAATAGTCTGACATCCACCTCCAACTGTCTGCATGAGTGTAATTCTCCTGTCTGACAGAGAAAAGAATTTGACTGTATTGTTGCCCAGTAGGCCATTAGAGGCAATTTAAGATTCATAGAAGAAGTCCTATAGCTGCTTCCTGCTTTAGACGTGACTCTGTGAGACCTCCACTCCCTCGAGAGCTGGCTTAATAGTTGCCATTCTGTCAGTCTCCATCCCTGGCTTTACCACTTTCTTATATTTGGCACCAAATAGACATACATCTGTTGCTAAGATACTGTAGTGATGTGAATGTCTCTGTTTGTGTTCTCACCATCATTCAGTGTCTGCTCCTGCCTTTCCCTCGTTTCCGTCTAAAGTAAAAACAACGTTGCTCTTATTCCTGTTCTTTTAAAGCTAATGTAATCCATTTACACAAAGGTAGCACCCAAAATGCAACCATATGCACATTCATATGATTTATTGGTTCTCTTGTATACATTTAGGATACAGTTAGGCAACTAACTGCATGCAAATGGTAATTTCTTGTGTTATGTTTTATTTTCTCATGGAGGAATTTACACCCACACTGCCTGGTTAAAGCCAGTAACAATCTGGTTTAGTAGAATTTAAACAGTACTGTGGGTCCCAAGGACCAGTGTTTGCAACCACGTTTGCAAAAATAATTGGCTTCAACAAAAGGTAAGATTTATTTTTGTGCACATTGTGAAAAGGATAAGTCATATTGATAGAGAGTTTTTAGCTCCTTTAATGTCATTGCACGGTACCTCACAAATCTTTTCACTTGGATCATTCACATGCTGTGTTTTTTTTTAATCCATTAATGCACGATGGGCCCAACAAGGAATCTGCATGTGCCTGATGTCCACCTTGATTCAGTGTAATTTTTTGTATTTTTTTGTATTTTTTTTTGGTTGGATCAATTTTTGCCTCATTGTACATTCCAGGGATCAAGCATGAAGTCATATCAAGCATATCCACAGATCCGTAAGAGTCTGTTGATAGGTCTTGAATTTCAAAATTTAAGGCCATAAAACGCCTTAAAATATTCTTTTTTTATTGACACGCAAAACAGGACCCTGCTGGAAGCACTGCAGTAGAGAGAGGAGTTTGGACTTTCTTTTTTTTTTTCAACTTAAATTGCATTTTTGTTATTACAAAGTGAGTAAAGTACCAAAACAATTTACCCACCTCTAGCCATGCTTTATCCTGTTGGGGAATTAGGGATTTCAAGCAAATTGGTACCAGTTAATAGTTTTTAATAGGTTTTGCATAAGGTGGAACACACACTTTTACAGACAATTCTTGTGTTGCCTCTGCCTCTAAAAAGAAAGTTTTTCCTTGCCCCCGGTCGCCAACAGTGCCTTGCTTCATGGGTGGAACCTGTTTGGTCCCT